CACCGCACCTCTCGCCTAGGATGGCGAGATGGCTAGAATTCTCCTCTGAATTTAATTTCAGAGGTGAATATAAGCCGGGTAAGTCGAATGTCTTGGCTGACGCGTTATCGCGCAGACCAGACTTCGAGGCAATACACCAGGAAAGTGTGTCTCGTGCGAAAGCACAAGGTGAGTCGTCAACATTGGCAGCCGTAAAGGCGTAACATGTGACGATCTCAACGGCCTCCGATATAAAGGAGTGTTACAGTCAGGACGAACATTGTCGCCTGCTGTTGGATTATTTTGGTGAACGAAAGGTTACCCTTCTGTCGCACCTGAAAGAGAAACTAAATCGCTTTAGTTACAGTGATGGCCTATTATGGCATCAGCTGTCACCTTGTGATCTCCTGAGAATCTATGTACATATCTCAAGCTGATGATACTTCACGAGTGCCATGATGCACCATCTAGTGGGCATCTGGGCCGTGAAAAGACATTCTTACGAGTGTCAGAGGAATTTTAATGCTTACCTATACAAAACTATATTTGCTCTTGCGAAGAGTGTCAGCGCATAAAGTCTGCACCTTCAAACAGTGCTCCACTGAAGCCACTGCCGATTCTAACGGATTGTTGGAAGTCGGTAAGTTTGGACTTCATGTTTGGCTTACCGCCTGACCATAAAGGCAGGACGGGGCTCGTCGTCTTTGTAGACAGACTGAGCAAGATGGTGCATTTGGCACCATGTAGCACCAAGATCTCAGGAAAAGAGTCTTCCCTCTTGTTTCTGGATCACGTGTATCGACTACAAGGGATGCCCGAGTCCATAGTATCGAACCGGGATCCGCGTTTTACGTCGGGTTTTTGGCGACATGTGTTTGAGTTGCTGGGAAGCAAGCTCCACATGTCAACCGCTGATCATTCCCAGACCGATGGCCAAACAGAACGAGCCAATCGAGTTGTGGCGGATGTGTTGCGTACAGTAGCTATTCCTAAAGAATGTAGCAAGCAATCGCCATTCATGGTGTTCGCTATTAATAACAGTGTTCACGCCAGTACGGGTGAAACATCGTTTTACATTAACGGACTGCGTCATCCTCGGACGCCAGTCTCGTTTGTACGCAGCCCGAGTCTTAGTGGGGGAGGGCCCCTCACTTCGCTCGGTGCAAATGCCGAAGAGGGCCCAGGTTGCCCTAGTGACTCTGCTAATTTAGCAGTGGTCACGACATCACGGCAAGAAATGCCTGTGCTCATTGATGATAACACCATAGTGTTATCAACAGCGTCTACCCATGAACGATCTCTTGGAGGCGTCATAGGCGAGCTGGATGCTAAAAGCATAAGCGAAGCTCAGTGCTTCGTGGATGAGCAATTAGACATCACACGAAAAGTCCGTGACGCAATGGCAAGCGCACAGGACAAGCAAAAACAATATGCGGGCCAACATGGTCGCAAAAACAATGAACACTTTAGTGTGGGGGACAAAGTGCTATTAAGTACTGCTACACTACCTAAACATGCAATCTCTGTACTACCTGGTGGTACTACTAAGCTATTGCTCCGATTCATTGGGCCCTTTACAGTGGTTGAAGAAGTTGGAGACCTAAATTATAGGCTCACTCTCCCACCGTATATGAAGACGCACCCCGTATTTTACGTGGGTCGTCTGAAACGGTATGTTGATCCAGAAGAGATCACATATTCACATCGGTCTAACGAGACCGATGGTGACGTCGACTGTGAGTCGAGCGTCGCAACCGATCAGGCGACGGGGAAGGTGAACGACTTCCCGTATACGAGACCGACAAAAGAGGACTCGGTGATCGAGAAGGATTCCGCTTTTGATGCGGGTCTCTCATCACTAATCGCTCTAACAGATCCAACCGAAGCTTCAGGCGGTCATACCCCTGAAGATCCCTCGTATTCACAAAGCGTAGATCCGAAGTCAGTCGCGAGACTTGACTCGAGAGATCAGCCACCTCCCTCTTCAGCGCAGCGTTCTCCGCCTGGACTGAACGGCAGCAGGATAAACAGCCGCGGGAATCTGGGCGTTATCGCCGCTCCTTTCGGACGCACTTGTGCTGGTAGATGCGGGTGGGAACACGCGCTTCCTTGTTGGAAGTTTGTTGGCCCACCGCCATGTGAAGCAAAAGTTTCAAATTCTTGTCCAATGGAAATTTTACCGAAGAGCTTCGACTCTTGGGAACCGGTCGACGCGTTGCGCGTCGACGTGCCTGGGCTGGTGGCTGCTTACGAGCAGAAGCACCAGTAGTGCTCGCTCTGCTAAGTCCTGATGGACTAGCAGGGGTGGCGTTACGAGAAGGATTTAATTTTTTTATCACCCAGTATTTCCCTCGCACGCTTTATAGCGAAGCTGATTCGCTGCGATTGCTGTTTCACTGCATCTGTATGCGTTTTGACACGGCGCAGTAACTCTGCCTCGTATTCGTCGGTTGTTTCATTCGAACGCAACACGACGGGGATAGGGAAAGCACGACCTAGTGCTGTACCCTGCCTTTTCCATGATGGAAAGACACTAAAAAGTTTATTAGTGTCAATAGTGTCACACTTTAGAAGCGTCGCACTATTACCACTCGAGTGTGACCACTCGGATGGAGGTGGCATTGGTGGCAAGACACCACTACTTAGCCTCCCTCGCGACGGCGTGCTAGTGAGGCCGACTGTGAAATCGAAGGGGAGATTTTTGCTCACCCTCGCCTGAGTCTGACTCTCCATTATGGATTGTCCAGACATCAGATGTAGGCTTAACAGAGGCAGACGATTTAAAATCTCTGATCTGCTGTTGAGTCGCGGCTGTTTCTTTCGAAATAGCGCGCTCAGTTGTGGTCGCTGCGTTCGTTGGCGCAGACGACGAGGCATGACCCTCGCTTTCAAGAAGCGTGGAAGCTTCCTGAAGGTTGGGTCCCTCAAATGATGGGAATATATGTCCCCAATGCACTGTGCATTAGTGTTCTTTGCTAACAAGCTGACATTGGATGTCGGCGTTATCATAGATACACTTAGCGAAGGCTGCGAGTAATCGCGGCGCGAACGCTTTGTGCTGGTCTGAATGGGCGCCTTATAGGCGGCCCATCAGCCTTACAACGTTTCGGTGTCATCTTCTTGCTTTCGATGTTTTACAAATATGTAAAATCGTCTTACTGAGGGGGATGGTGTAGCGGGCCAATTAATACACGAATTCGTAAGTATATAATTTGTCCAATAGGGTAAGTGGGTTCATAACGTCTGCCACTTGGGTGTGGCACATCAATGTGACCGTCTCGTGAATGTGATATCCATGGATAGAATCACATTTAACGGGGATCACGCCAGTTGGGACTAGGCGTCATGGTGACGCTTCAGACAGACGTCATCAGCGAGCTTAGATATATTTAGGCTCGCACGTAAGGATTCGCTTCCAAAGAGACGCGTGTGCGTTTTTTGCATTTAATTCAATCAAGAGTTTGAGTTATATTTAGTTTTTTCTATTGAATATAAATCAGTCTTGGATTCGCACGGGAAGATAGAAAGCAGCTACCGTGACGCAGGTAGGTGCTTGTTTTAAAGTTCGTTGCGGATCGCTTTAAGCTGTCGGCAACATTTGGTACGGCGCTTTAAGCTGCCGACCAACACTACCACCACCGCAGACGGAGGTAAGACGGTCCAATCGCTTCCTCACGCTGCTTGAAGGTGTATGCCCGCGTAGTACGTGGCAACTTTTTTTCGAAGCGCCCGTCTACAAAATGCCCTTTCACTAGATAATTGCATAGGAGACATATAAAATGACAAATTCATTAAAAAGAACTTTCTAGAGTAGAAAAAGCATTAATATACATGTAATACAGAGCAAAATATATCAAGTCAAAAATACGTGTACATATCTACGGTAAATCCCTGAGCGACTCGAAGAGGTAAAGAGTGTAGGAGTTCAACAACTATAATGCGAAGAGTATCTAGGGCATTGCTCGCGTCTATAGCAAAGCAATTATTCGAAATTTGACGAGCCGGTGGGCCTCAGCCGATGTCGCCGTAATCCTTCAAGTCGAGCGTAACTGTGCCCAGTAACCTGCAAAAGTGCGAGAGCGCCGGCATCCACCCATTGGTCTAAGATCCTTGGATTTGAGAGAAACGAAGCTGCTGAGCTCAGATAGGCTTCTGAAGAATGGTTGTGAGTTTTTAGCTAAGGCGAAAGCACAACTGGTCCCAAAGAGGCGAACCGAGTGATTCCTGACGTACTAGCTCAATTGCGCCACTTACTCGGAAAATTTAGCCTCATTAACAGTCATACTGATAGACGTTTCTGGCAATCATTTCATCACGATTGGTGACGCGACCCGTAATTTCAGCGTGTGAAATTATGTTAGCAGATAGTGAACCACCAAGTAGGAGCAAGATTATAAACGAATCGAGAAACGCATGAGACGACACCCCGCCCATGGCCGAGAGGCTGTCGCACGCAGGTAAGGAGTCAGGGATATAGAACTACACCCCCGCGGATGCGAAGGTGGACCGAGCTATCAATTTCGACGATTTTTACACAAATGACTAGGGTGAGGAGAATGGAAAAAAGAAGAATAGATGATGAGGAAAGTGACAACGAAGTCACTCAAGGGATGTAGCGGAAGAGCGCTCATTACTTGTCGACCGTGTTGGAAAACCGAGTTCGATTTAGGGTACTATGCTTGTAGACAAGCACTTCAAAGAAGTTGCCACGTGCTACTAGCACACACCTTTAAGCAGCGTGTGAAATCGGTTTAACCGTTTTGCCTCCGCGTGCGGTGGTGGTGGTGTTGGCTGGCGCTAAACCGCAGTTTCAAACGCTGCCGGTCGCCTTAAGCAAACCGCGCAACAAATTTTTATTTAAGTGCTTCACTTACGACACGCAGCAACTTATTCGACATCTCGAGCGCAGTAAGCTAAGTTTAGCAAATTTTAGACTGATTTATATTTCATAAAAGATATATATATATAAATCTAACAACTGATTGGTTAGTTATGTATCGATCCGGAAGTAAAAGTACAACCTACTGAAGATACATGCGCTGCATTGATATCTGGTCTCGAATTCTCTGAACCAGCCCAGTTTTGTCGCACGGAATCAAGGTCTCACGAACCACCAAATGCTCGCTAACTTTCTCTTCATACAGCAAACGCGTGACATCGATCACTACACGAACGGCGCCTGCACACAAAAACAACACCAGTCAGCAATTTCGTCAGCCCAGCTCCTAAATCGACGTCTTTATGTACTTGTTACGAATGCCGCTTGCCACGATTCCCGGTCCAAAAGTCTTGGTGCCTCCAAAATCACTGGAATGAACAGATCGCGGCAAGCTTTGAGCACTAGCTCCCTCGTACTTCCTTGTAAAACATCTTGGCCCGCCGTATATAATTGTCCATCCATCACTGCATTATTGAAACACACACAGCGTCATTTTCGTAAGTTTTCCTCTCCTCGCTTTCAATGGCATCCCCTACCAACAAAGAAGTTGGTGACTAGACCTTCCAAAAGAAATCGATCTTCTCCCTGCGCCGCCTTACTCAGTAAAACCTCGTGAATTGGCTCGCCTCGCGTCTCCATCAAGTGTGCCATGTGCGTCTCAAGTGGCACTCGGTCTTCGATCCACTGCGTGTGTTTGCATCGAGCGTTCTCTCGTCCTTCTCCGTAGACCAACACCGTCGATGCAAGACACTTGGGTTGTGGCATTGCACAAATATGGACAGCAACGCCGTAATCATCACTCTCTTCAAGTGGATACCAGAGCACAGACAACATTCCATCCACGGTCTCCGATGCTTGCCATTGTATCATTACGTTCGTAGCCACTACTTCTGTAGCCATTTGTAACCGCTTTAACTTCAACTTGTCGTGCTTGAACTTGATATCCATTATAACGAGACCAGCTGTTAGCCGTTGCACATGAAAAGGCCATTCGACCAACACTCTGGACAAAACAGGTTCTAAATTCAGTACTTTTAATTGCGCTCTCACGCATGTGTACACACCAGCAGGACGCGATTGCAGAAATTTCTTGGCAGAAGGATATGCATCACATGTCAATACAGAAGGCACGGGCAAAGACGACGCCGTCAAAACGTTTAGAGCCTCCGCTATCAGGACCGTCATCGATCAGTAATCAGTAAGAAAGGCATGATTACAACCGTACTTAATATGATATTACATAGCACACAAATAATACACAACTTTAGCGATGACCTCACATTTGACAGTAAAATAAGCCACGAGACTACCAGATGTTGCGTCGTAGTTCCCAAGCACTTTTGACTACTGTAACACGTGCCTGTGGCCCACGTGGGACAGCATCAGTCGTCTCTTTGACTCGTTTACAATGTGCGAGCTTTTCAACGATCTACGACCTTCAGACGCCATACGAGGTGAGTACATATGGTGGTTTAGTGTAATTTTGTATGTACAAGTGGTAATTCGCTATGATTTATTTAAAAACACGGTGATTTAGGACATTAACCGCCACCGTAGCGATGCCGAGCTGCGGATCTCCAAGGTGCCTATTGTGGAGTTGAATAGCAGCGTCGCAGTGTGTGACGGTGGTGGTGGCGCGTTGGGTCACCCTGTTGAATACATTCAATTGGACACGCACAAGCACAACAACCCGCAGACGTGCAAGTACTGTGGTGTGCGGTACATGATGAAAGAGGGATACCATGGTGGTCATTAAAGTGGGGGGGGGGGGTAGACTTTTTTCATCACGATAGCAAGGAGATGAGAGTGAATTGTTGCGACGTTATGTTGACTGACTGAGGAAGAAGTGGAAAAGAATTAAGTCGATACAAGAGAATAAAGAGAACTACACGATGCTGGTGTTGTTGATTCTAGGAGATCTCGATTACCGAATTGAAAGCCGTCTGATCACAGATAAAGTTGTGCCGAAGTCGATGTGAGCGGTTGCAGTTTATGACTAAAAGGACAAAAGGTGGCACTTGGTTACAGATGTAGCCCAATACCGTTACTGCAGGAGGTTGTCAGCCTCCAAACACTGTATTATATCTCAAAGCCGCTCATTGCGATGCTTATCTAGCGCGCTTGCATCTTGAAGTCAACTTGACAAATGTCCGATCAAACAGTGCAGACACATTGAGCTGAAGCAAAGTACGTCTTGTTACCGAACAATTTAGGAGTTTAGACCTCACGAGGTGCACATTCACGCTTATAACGCATTAGAAAAAATCCTGCAAGACCGGGCAGCTTGCTACCTTTCAACAGGTACTACCGTGATGATGGTGAAAACGAGGTCGATAGCGCTTTATCGGATACATCAAAGACATCCATGCAGCACATAATGGCGCGATAACGGGATTCACCTTCCCTGCGCCGTTGCCCATGCTCCATGTTATTCAGATGATCCTTCACAAGTGTCAACAGACCCACCAAATAGTTGCGTGTCACTTCAGGTGTCTGCATCTCAAAGAAATACACATACTGTTTACCAGCAATGAAATCACATGACAAGAATATGTGAGTGCGAATGTACCAGGCTCAGCGCATACAAAACTCAACGTACAGCCTCCAATATATCCAGAAAAAGAGGGACCTGGTTTAATGCTATGTCCTTCATTGAATCCGCAATGCGTAATGATCGCTGAAGACATTCCCGGACGCGCTTGCCATCTCGATGAGACGGATGCTGTGTAGAAGACATAAACACAAGGACAAACCATCCATTATAATTATATGTTTCACGAAAACTTGACAACCGCCTACGACTTACCCAAAAGAGATGTGCACAATTCAGCACCATCAAGGCCTGCTCATTTTTCTTGAGTAATCGAGCAGAATACTGTGTGGTCTTGGTCGCGAGAATCTCGTAGTTGGTGCTCGAGAGATTGCGGGTTGCACGCAGTGATGCAACCATTGCTTCTAAAGCGCGCCATTGTTCACGTGCAAGCGTGATTTGGTCTTCATATACAATGAAAGCCTGAGTGATAAACTCGTATGCGATTGCCTCAAATGCACAGCCATCGGCAACGAGAGCACATTGCAAAAATAAATGAACGCACGAAACAGACAGCGCATCCTGCTTGGACGCCAATGCCGTCACCATCTCATGTACAAACTGAAGAACCTCACGAGGCGTCGTAACAAAAGTCTTGGAGTTTCCGTCAGTCACAGTGGCCTCTGATTCTGCTTTGGTCTCTTGACCTTGACTTTGGGTCTTTTCCTGAGTATGAGCTGCTAGGTCTCTGGCAAGTGCCAACGACTGGCAGATTAATGGCACAAGCGTGAATCGAATCCGAAATACACCGCTCATTAAAAATGCACGTCGTGCCACTACAAACACGCGAAACTTGACGTCATAATTATCGTTTGATACGAGGTGGACAACCTTGGCTAATGTTTGCTGCTCGGCTTCAAAAATCTCAGCCTCCTTAGTTTTCCCCATATCTGTTGTGGTGACTGGGGGCAGCAACTGGAACTCGCTGGGGTCATCGCGCACTAATGGTGCCAGCACTGTCAGCAAAAAGCTCATTTGTTTCTCATTGTAGACACGTTCATGCCGTGCAAGCAGCACACGGATCCATACCAGTGCCACATCTTTCCACGCGCCCTGCCACGGCATCAGTGCTAGCAATTCAAGCAGTGATGGGACTTGCAAAAGATCCTGGATAGAAAAGCCTCGAAGGAGCGTGAGCGCAAGAGTTTTAAGCTGAGAAATCACAGCCTGGCGCTTTTGCTCATCTTTGTCCACTCGCCACGCTGTTCGCTCACGTAAAAAAGTTAAGCAGCCAAAAACCACTTGCTGAATGGCAGTAGTTGTATGTGAGTTTTTACTCGTGGTGGTGCCCAACCAGACGAGGGTAAAAGTGGCAAACGCCACAAAATAGGGCAACACTGAGGCCAACTGCACGTCAGTACCACCTCCTTCGCTTATTGGATCTCCATTTTCAGCAGCATACCGCAATGAGCGCAAAAACATCTTACCAGTCGTATTCATCATCTGCTGGAAAACATGAAGGCCATCTTGCTGCTCATCGTTTAGCTTGGTACGATCATCCGCTCCTGTTTCTTGCTGTCCTGCACCGGTAACATTTCCCTGTGCTTCCCGAAATTTTGTAAGACGTTTAAGAAGCGCTGTCAAGATCAATGCGACGTCGACATTTGTCTGCAGCTTTTCCAATACATCCAACAATTTCTCAAGATTCTGCAAGTGAAACTCGTCCGGGAAGACCTGAATAATACAATCCATCAAGTACTGCTGCGCCATGCAGTCTTTGCAGGCAAGGACTACATCATTTAGTAATTCAGGTAACACTTGCTCAGCATAGATGCTGCTTGTGACTCCATCTATTTGACTCAATCGTACGAGGCTCGTTCCAACCAAAAGACGGAGCTCCATCCGCTCCTTCTCTCGAACAACCAGTGGCCGAGCGCCGTTAGTCTTTTGATGCTGCAGTCGTATCCAAAGTTGATTGGTTTCCCGTAGGTTTTGCAACAAGAACTTGATAGAGTCGCTGACAGTGCCACCACCTGATTGCTCGTACACTGAACCCGTATCCGGCAGCTTGTCACGTACACTAAGAGACAAATAGTGTCTCAAGAAAAGACCACGTAGTGGATGTTGTACTCCTTTTGTCATCTCCACTAAATCCGTCAACACATCACGAGCTGGAGCTTCCCTGGACTTGATGTAGATTGCTCCGACCGTCACGAGCAAGTACCTGACACAGGAGCAAAAGAATGTAAGAGCTTCAGTATCATACTAAACAATATAGAAAAAAATGTCACTTGTTGATTTTGCTCCATACAGTCTTGGCAGGACATTGCCACTGCTCTGGACACGTTCATAGAGTATGCGCATAGATGCGCCGGATTGTTGCTGCTCGTCCACATAGTTTTCAAAATGCCGCAATTGGTCCATTAATTGCATGTCTATATTATAAATTTAGACATACAAATTAAACATTGGTTAAAATTTAGAAGAGGCCGCACAATAGTGTAATAAATCGTACAAAGATGGTAATAATTCTTAGGAGACAGTAGACTCGTGCGTAATTCGCGTAGCATTTCAGCAGCGTATTTAAGCACAGCAGACTGATCCTTTGCGTCTACAGCACGCTGCATGCGAAATCCTTGGTCACGAACGGTCTGTAGTGCTTCACGCAGGACTTCTGCTTCGCCCTGCTCATCTAGAACGAAACTTTTAAGCACCATAATGAAAAAAAGTATGTTTAAGAAAGACTCGAAAAAACTAAATTTAACAATTCAGATTTAGAAAGCTTATGGTTTATGAAACCATGTCGTATAATTTAAATCAGAATTGCAGCTGGTTTTGAAAGGTTCGAAAAAATTTGTTCGATAAATAAGAGTCTCTAAGCTGAAACTGGAATGCGCTTGCTTGGATCCAGTGGTTTTGTACGTGTCAATGGTGCCGACGACGTCTTTCTCATGCAATTGATAGTTGCAATGCGGAGAGGGGGCAGCTGTCTATGTGCGCTAGAATTTGGGGGCAAAAACCTTGACGATGCGGCTACGCAACGCGGCCAACACGACGACCTCCTCACGTTGGCGCACACGGTGAATCTCCTTGGTGAGCGTGGCGATCATTCGCTGCATCTTCTTGTGCATGTTTTGATGCATCAGTAGTATGGTCTGAATATGAGCGAGCAAATCCAATTCCTCATGACGCTCCTCCTCCAGCTCCTCGAGCTCCTGCTCACGCGCGGCTAAGCTACCGTCGTCAGGTGGTGTCAAGCGCAGTGCACTGATCTCTTGTTGCAGCTTGGCCATGAGCTCCTCGATCTCCTGCAGCCGTGCGGACGATTCACTTACGTCGTCCTCAGACGTCAGCACCGCCTGCTTCTCCGTGACCATCTCCTCTCGGAGCCGTGCGAGCTGGTGGTGCAGCGCCCGCGAGTACAGCGTCAATGTCTTGGCAGTCTTTTCCAGCTGCGCCATCGCAGAGAGACGCGAGTTGTTGTTGCTCTTGGAAGGCGTCGACATACGATCTATATTGGTTTAAGGTAATGGGATCGGTTGGTGTTGCGAGGATGATTGAAATATGAAGAGCTCAAGCACAAGAACGGTCGGATGTGATGGAAGGACAGCAGCCGTGAATGATGTGGCGACCTCCAGCTGCTGAACCGCAATCATGCGATGCTGTTGATTGGTCGGACCGTGCCTTTTTGCAAAACAGAAAGCCGTTCCAAAATCCGTTACTCTTTGTTCATAATTTGGGATATCAGAGTCCAAGTTTCCTAACTTACAGTGCACTTGTCAATGATCTAAACAACGGAAAATATATACCAAAGAGTCTTTCTGGTACGAATGAGGGCCTGTACTAGAGCTCGAGGCTGTAGGGCTCTTTCACGCCGTCTCGTCGCACCTATGCACCAGCAACGCATGATTGTTGCGACGTAGCAACGTTCGCGGAACATGTCGGCATTGCCGACTTTGCTCCAGGAGCTGATTAGCTCAGGTGTTTAGATCTCTTCGTTCAACGTCGAATGAATGATATGAGCGCCAGCAAATATATGTCCCCCCACATGACACACCCCAACAGCTGCGGCATTGAAGAATCATAAATCTTAATTGTAGTATCAGGAATGTACCCAACAGGTGCAAGCATCTGCTCCGCTTCTTCGCGGCGATGATATATGTTCCATTTCTGCGAGGGTTCATATACCGTACCTGCAGCTGGTATTTCTGTGAGCAATGACGCTTTCTGAGCGCAGTGGGTGATATACATGTACATGTACTGAAATTTTACCGTCCAGTTTGAATTAACGGCCGTGTAGTGGTTTCCAAGTAGTCCGTTCTGCTCATTTGCGACTGACCATACATGTTTGTACCGCTTACGCTAAATAGCGGTTCCACTAAACGACTGAATCGTTATAATAAAGCACTGCTCTGACAACGCGGCAATCTAAACTTCGTGCGGCAATGAGGTTGTAGCTACGTGTATAAACAATGTCTTTATTCTAATATCGGATACCTAACACCCTATGGTTATCGTCATGATTGCTGCATTAACTGGAAAGCTCAAGCTAATTTTAGCAGCGTTCTGTTCCGGCAATGTGCAGACATTAGCTTACCGGTACATGTAACACCAACAAAGGCTAAGATTTTATGCAGCACAAATATAGCTTATCCAAGCGAGTTGCGTCATCTTCCTTCACACGTTAGTGTGTAAGGCTTATCGTGCTTAACGTCGTCGAAAGACGAAGTGTGCCTCCTTTTTGCCAAGGCATCATTGTCAAGACCCGTCTGCATTATGGACAGCTCATCGATGCGATGGAGATTGCGTCGCCAACAGAAAGCAAGGGAGAAGTGGTAGACTTGATGTGATTGAGTTGACGATATAATGAGACGAGGTAGTTTTGTTGTCTTGAGACATGGTGCATTCAAGTCATCATCCCATTGTAGGGCGGACCGAAATTGGCGCCCTGACGTGCGAAAATGGGTCATTAATCTGAGCCTTTCAAAACATGGGTGACACAAAACCTACTTAAATGCAAATCTGGATTAAAGGCTTGCAGGTTGTTAGCGTCAAGGGAGTATGCCACGATTCAGTTCTGCACTATAGCAGAACGGCAACTCCAATATATAACGGATTGAACTCGCTTCTTTGTCATTCCGACGGTAGGCGCAACCACGCATTAATAAGCTAAGCTGCGACGATGAGGCCGAGCGATTTTACTGAGCGCACCGAGCGTAGCTGCGTGTGGAGGATTTCAAGTACGAAAGAACCTACTCCTGCGCCATATTACAGGCCTCTACATGGGAATACACCACGACGGGCTGCGTCAGCGGCATCATGGTGGACATAGACCCAGGTCTCATCATCTTTAAGCAAGACAGCAATTGAGTTCATTCGAAAATTGGCGCGACGACATCGAGGATCAGCGGCTGAGTGCCGAATGCACTAGATCCGAGTCTAGGATGCAAGGGGCATTGTAACGGGCTAATGGCTACACGAGTCTGTTAGATATCTAATACTTGACGGGGATGTCTAAATGGGTACGTGGAACCTTATACCTGATGCACATTAATGCAACCCACCCTCGTGAATGTGATATCCATGAATGGATTTACATTAAGGGGAATGACGTTTAGTTGGGACTAGACGTCATGGTGACGCTTTAGACGGACGTCATCAGCGAGCTTAAAGACATTTTAAGCTCGCACGTAAGGATACGCTTCCAAAGAGACGCGTATGCGATTTTTGCATCTAATCAATCAGTAGTTAGGTAAAAATTTAGTTTTATATATTGAATGTAAGTTATTCTTGAATTTCCTAATTACTGTTGTGGTGGAGTGGGATTCGCAAAATTGCTGATGCGATTACGACTCTCCACTGGCGCCCGGACGGCCGACTAACGGAGGGGGTACCCCGATTTCGTGTGCAAAGCCTTCCTCACCTTGTGTACCCGTCGTTTGGGCGGGTTGCACTCTTCTAGGTGGACTTGAGTCGATGTTGATCCTAATTGGGTTAGGGATAGGAGGTTTGGTTATCTTGTGGAAATCTTCACAAGATAAACCGAGTACTTGGTGTGATCTTCCCAATCGATCACGGTTATCCAATAAAGCGAAGCTTGAATCTTCTGACCACTTGAGCAGAACCTTCTGACCACTTGATCCGTCCTGCACTTGCTTACCTTGCCCTTACTTGTTATTCCTGCGTCCGATCGCAGTTGAGTTGTTGTGTCGAGAATTCCTTCACCTGGCCAAAACAATCCAGGGTGCACTTGTAGTCGATTATCTCGGCGTCGATAGGCCAAATATCTTGCCCGGAGTAGAGAAGTCGACACGTGTACTTAGAAGCAAATTGAACTCTGTTTAAAGTTAACCAATCAAATACTAAAACCTATGATCTTGACTATTTGTATCTCAGGATCTATTGCCACGTATCGCCCTTTCGGAAAAATCAGATCTTGTAATGTGGCCCACTCCAATATCGCCGCAATCTGGATCGCTACCTCGATTGGATCTAATATCATTTTTTGTATCGGATCGCGGTACTAATAATTAGTATAGAATCGCGGTTCGCTGGATCACGACTTGTCCTCTTCACCGTTCCTCGGATCATGTGAAATGGTCCATCTATATGACATGTCATGTCCACCTCATTCCAGTCTTCATAGCGACGTGATCTACACCAAACCGTTTTCCACATACTTGGATTTACCAATATTCAAGCGGATCGCCATCAAAAAATACCGAATACGCAGTTGCGTAGTTCTAGGTCGTAGTTAATTTAACATTAAAATGCAAGCACCACCATTCACTGTTGTCCATTCCATTTTGCAACGTCTCGAAAACTTCTTCTGCTGGATCGCGATTCGTCAATATCGACCATGTCGAATACAACCGAAAATATGCGATCACACTTTGCCAAATTCACTTTTTTGCTTCGCCACATTGTCCACTGCCCACTAGAAGCTGTATAAGCTTCTACGTGTAGCAAATGAAGCACTTGTTTTAAAATTTTGCTGCGCGAATCGCTTTAAGCAACCAACAACGGTTAGTACTGCACTTCGAGCGACCAACCAACACCACTACTACCGCACGCGGAGGTAAGACGGTCTAACCGCTTCTTCAAGCTGCTTGAAAGTGTGTGCCCGCGTAGTACGTAGCAGCTTCTTTTCAAAGCGCCCGTCTACACTTTGTTGCACTTGTAGTCCTTCCCACAATCCGTCTCTCTGACCGTGCGTGTGCATACGGATGTCCCTCGACGTGGATTAAGGAGACTTCCCCCACGTCTCCCAACATCATAGGGAGGTGGCAGAGCACTTGGTGCAGGACTTGGTGAACAAGCCCTAACCATTCTCTTGCATTGTCCTCCTGAGCAACATGTTGCTCAGTTGGAGCAATTTGAGGCGTTTGTGCTCGGACAGCGTAGAAACGCGTCCGAGGTAAACAGCCAAGCAGCGGCTGAGTCCATCAGTAAGACTTAGGATTAGCTTAGGCTTGAGCAGACGTAATGAGGCTCTCAACAGAACTGTTGAGACGCTCTCTGCCCGGCCTGCTCAGCGAAGGCCCATTTGGATGGACCCTCCGGAGTTTGATGGAATTGCCCCATATACAATTGTCCACTGGCTTTTAGCAGTGAGGCAATGCGGTATGGCGCAGCTCATCGAAGACAACATCAGGATGGTGTCGTATGCCATGTCAATGCATGACAAAGCTTCAGATTGATCTTACTCTGAGCTTATGGCAAACGATGATGCGTATCTATCATGCGCGATCTTTAAGTCAAAGATTCGCGCCATGTATCAGCCGCCTAACAACTATGTGTTGCTTATGGCGCGCTTCTTTGGGGCACGACAGGCGAAACGCTCTCTGCAAGAGTATGCGCAGGAGATGCGTTCGCTGTCTTCGTCTATTTATGTGGGTCCGATCAGGAACACATCAAGGTGGCCACGTTCATGGGCGTAATACGGCACGGCCTATCGCGTCGGGCCCTGTTTTAGAAAGGTACTAGCGACGATGGAAGAGGCAATTGACATTAGAAGCAATCCTACAACAGCGCCTCAGCAAGATCTAATTATAAGCCGTCGGCCGAGAGGTCGGATGCCACTCCAATGCATACGTGGTCTGCTACAAGTGCGGCACGCGCGGCATATGATGGCTCGCTGCTATGCCAAACTTGCTGCAGGTGCTAAATCAGCCAGCAAAAAGTCTCCAAACCCGTAGGGTGGTTCGAAGAACCGTGCACGTCGCACGGGTTCGGATTCGACCCCCGACAAGTCGGGAAATGCGGGAGCGCAGTAGGGGCGGGATGCCCTACTGTCGCGGACTCTGAAGCTACCCCTAAGTTCAGAGTGATCGAACAAATGGGTAGCATAGTCCCTGAGGTTCCGAAAGGTCGGACCTCAACCCTTTTGGTCTATAGCGCTCGAGTACGAGGCTATGACCAAGTGATGGCCCTTCTCGTGGATTCGGGTGCATCAAAAAACTTTGTGAAACTCGCGGCTCTGAAAAAACGGCCGGCGAGTTATGAG